CGCGGGCCCAGACGGTTCTGGAGCAGGCTCGCGGTTTGTCAACTGCCCCCGCCATCGAATGCCCGACCGGTCCTCCGTACCATGCTTCTGGGGAGTATCGGAGCGCTCCGCGCGCCCTTCCAACTTTGGGACCTTCCTTCTCCGCCGCCTCGGCCTGCTTCCTCCGCACCAGCCGCGGGTTGCGTGCCGTGTCCGCCCGTCCTCTCCGCCCCGTGTCTTGCGGAGGCTTCCAGGGTTACCCGGGAAGTGTGCAGGGCTTTTCCCCGATCATGTGTGTTGTCTTGGTGGTCGCGCCCGAGTGCCTTCAGTGTCCTCGGGGATGTCGGGCAGGGGGTTGGGCAGGGGGGAGGGAGAGGTGGGAGAGGGAACGAGGAAGAGAGTGCAAAGACAAGAGGAGGAGGAGGAGAAGGAAGAGGTGGGGGACGAGAGTTTGGATGTTGGGGGGGTGGGGGGGGTCCCTCCCCTCGGGCGCCGCGAGCGCGGCAATAGTCGCGCGCGGCGAGCGCGGTGGAGGGGCTGGGGCGAGGAGGAGGAAGTGGCGGGGGAAGGGGGAGAGGGCTTCAGTGGGGCTGTTATTTTTGATTCTTCAGGGGATATCCGAGGGTTGAGCGGTTTTCGTTCTTCGTCCCTGTTCCATTGTGTTCTCGGCCCCCTGCACATCATCGTGCCTCCCAGTGCCATCTCGCCACCCCCGCCCGCTTATCATCCTTGCCCTCCCTCCTCCCACGTCTGCCCTTCAGTTACCCGCCTCCCACACTCATCCTGCTGCGCCTAGCTGCTCCACCTCGCACTGATCTCTTGTTCTTTCTTTCAGTCCGTCACTCTCTCTCCACCTGTCCGCTTCCCCCGTCACTTCCGCCCCCTCCGTCTCCGCCTCATGTGATCTCGCCCTTCCTCCCCCAGCCTTCCCATCATCCCCCCGCCCCACTTCCTCCCCGTATTTTTCTGCTTGCGTTCCCCCCCACCCCCTCATCCCTACTCTTTCCTCTTCGCTGCTCCTCATGCCCTTCCCTTCTCCCGTCTGCAGCGTCTGATCCCGTCACCCTCTCGCTGCTGGATGTCTTGTTCCGCCTCCTCCGTTCGTAATGGCCACGCCACCACCGTCGCCGTCGTCAACATCACTCTCACGATGGCTCCGTCGTCTAGCATTGATCGTGCCTGAGCTCCGTCGCGAACGCACAGCTGTTGCGTCCGATTTGTTTTTTCGGTCATCGCTTCACAGGCAAGGAGGCCGGGGACGAGGGGAACGACAACAGCGATGATTGCATTGCGCATTATGTTGGCCATTCGCTTTCTGGGATATGTCTGAGCTGTCCTGCGCAACCAAGTTTCAAACCTGGTCGCATACACGTTCAGGACAGGAGAACGGTCGGATAGCACACCGACTGCTACACGATCGATCTTACTTCAAGGTGCTCCCCCTCTCGCAATCCGTAAGGGTCGAACTATGCTATGCGAAGCCTTTGGCCAGTACCGCCTACCTAGCTCTGCATACTGCGCGGGCGCAATCTCTTGCGCATGAGCAATGTGTTCGTTAGCATGCGACGTGCCAGTGGCGAAGCATCATATCTGGTTTGGCAATCAGGCCGTAGGCGTATATTCGTGGTGTGTGGTGCTAGGAGTGCGCGCAGGTGTGAGAGATGGCATGCGTGCCTGTGCTAGGGTGCTAGGGTGCTAGTGTGTGTGTGTGTCTGTGTGTTTGTGGTTATTGGCGTTCTCCTGCTCTCACACGGCTGTGGTGAGTCTCTCGACGGTCTTGCGTGTTCCTTCCCTGTCATCTATGCCCAGCTGGCCGATGCTGGTAGGCTTGCATCCCAAGCGGTGTTGAGGGCCCAGCCGCCGCGCGCGCAGTTCTGACTGCTGCATTTCTCCGCCTCATTGCTGTGCGCCAGGGCGCTACCGCCAAAGAGTTTGTGATCCATATAGGTATATATGTCTACGTAAAGATGTAATATATACATATATGTTTTTATATCTATGTATACGTGTGTGTGTGTGTGTTTGCGTTCTCTCTCCACCGCCCTGTCGCCATCTGGCACTTGGTCCATCCCACCGTCTACCCTGGTACCGGGCTGCCTGTCGCCCCTCTACCCTGTCGGTGTGCCGTCGCACCTCCGTGCTACGCCCTTGTCCCCCTTCCTTGCCCCACGCACTGCACTCCACCGCCACTTGCCGCCGCTCACCTCATCTCCCCCCTCTTCCAATTCCATTCGCGTCCCCGCGCGAGTGACCCAGTCGATCCCATGGGCGGCCCCTCGGTCGCCCCGCCGCGTGAGCTGGCCCGGCCGCCCACCCGTTCCCCTCGACTGTCTAAGCCGCGCCGCCGCGCGCGTGGCCGCAATGCCAACATTGAGTGTGTGTGTGTGTGCATGAGCGCGCGTGCAAACAATGATGTGCAATTGCGTGTGCGTGTGAATGGCCGATGGCCCCCCTGTCTCGTCCCGCGCCAGGCCGCCAATCAGAACATGTTCATGTGAAAGTGTGTGTGTGTGTGCGCAAGTGTGTCTCGCTTAGTCGTGCTCGTTTGTTTGTGTGCCTGTGATGCGGCAGTGCGTCTTTGTCTGCGTGCTGGGAGGAAGGTGTTGGTGAGCTGATTTGCAAATGTGCGCACACTGGTGCGTTTGTGCTTGTGGTTGTGTCTGCGGCTGTGTGTGCCTCTTTTGCGTGTGATTGCGCTTGTGCGCTTCAAGCTGTTATTGAGCAGGTGCGTTGTTACATGCGAGTGTATCCGTATGTTTACGCGCCGTGGGGGTGCAAGGTTAACACAGGATGCGGGATCCAATGTCGCATGTGTGAGTGCTGTCGTCTATGCACATGTGAACGCGCGTGCAGCGCGCGCATACACACTCAGTGAGTACAAGCTCGAGCGTTGACTCGTGATATGCGGGCGTCCAATCTGCAGGACCAGCGGATACCCCTGAATACCGAAATATTATTGCGAGATACCCATCTCGCAACAAACTGTTCTACTTCATTTGTGCAGGACCGTTTTCCTCGCTTCTTTCTAGCAGCGACCCCGCTCGGCGCGGTTGCCCGTGCAGCCCCTTTGCACCCTGTTCTCCTACCTCCAGCCGCCTCACGCCCTCCTCCTGCCCCTGCATCTCATTCATCCTCCCTCCTGGTTTCCCTGTTACTTCTGACCCTCTCCGTCATCTTCCTCCGCGTTCTTCTCTTCCCTCTCCCCTCTTTTCGTTCTCCCCCCAACCTTCTCCCTCCCTCCTCATCCTCGGCCACGTGCTGCGAGGGATAGGGGGATGGGCGAAGCCTTCGTAGAAACATCCCTGCTTCTTAGAAGGCGCGGGCCTGGTCTGTAGGTGTAGGGCCTGCGCTTTCGGAGAAGCCACCTCCTTCTAAGAAGCTGTTCCCCCCTCCTCCTACCCCCTTGCGCACGCCGCGAACATCCTCTCCCACTCCCTCCGCATACCTCCCTCCTCCCCCCTATCCCATGTTCCCTGCTCCAGCACCCCTGCTCAGTCCTCCTCCTCCACTCCTCCATCGGACCCCTTCCCTGCTCTCCTCCCGCCCTTCCTCTACCCCTGCCTCTCCGTAGCCATTCTGGCGCCGGCCACCCCAGCCCAAGCCGCCACAGCGGGCTCCGAGCCCTCAACTTGAGCGGTCCTGCTGATCTCGGAGGCGCCGCCCCCCCCCGGTCCACCTCGTCGTTCGGCCCAGGGCCAGCACACGCCCACGACGCCTCGGTGCGCTGGGGACGCACCAGGTTTCACCACCCCGCTGCAGGTCGCACGCGCGTGGCCCAACAGTCGGCGCTGGTCCACAGGTGCTGCAGGTCTTGCGCGCTGGCGGCTGCGGCGGGCCCCGACCGAGCCGTTCCACCTGCCGGGCGGGCGGGCGGGCGTCCCCCGCGGGCCAGGGGCGGCTGGCCACTGAGCGGTGTCCTGCGGAGGTGCGGGGGTGGCAATGCTGGGATGAGCGGCGGCCCCGCGGTCCTCATCGGGCGATTTTGGTGCTGCCCTGGCCATGTTGACCTCTCACTTGGTGGATGCAGTCTCTCATCGGCCAGGTCTTTGGGAATGCGATTGGTATGCTCGTCGTGTCGTTCATTCCATTGGAATCAGTGTCGTGCTTGCCGCGTGCTTTCGTTTGTTGAGGCCAATGATGACTGGTGATCAAGTCTAGGAGAGCAGCAGGGTGTTGTCACACATTGAGAGTTGACCGGTTACGGTCTCATCTTCTGCTTCATCGGCGGTGCCTCAATTCTTCACGCTGCAAAGCAGAATTTCGTGGGGTTCATGGACGCTTCCGCAGCTGAAGACATCTTGGTTGTGGCAGACGGTGTTGGTTGGGGCGCCGAGCAGGAGCCAAGGTGCATGGCGTATTTGCTCTTGATCGCGACAGACCGGTTCGGAAAGAACCTTGAGATATTGATCTACAAAATTTTGTGCAATGCGATTTTCACATTTTTTTTGGCTGCGGAATTGTTGACAGGATTGGCAGGCTTCGATTTTATGGTTCAGAATTTGATTAGATTGTGCCGCGGCGAACGGCAGGTTGAACAAGATCAGCATATTCCTCTCACGAAGGAGTATCAGGACAGGATCGACCAACTAATATCTATAGATGAAGGGAAGATATCGGAACAGTGGTGCACCGAAATATTGGTTTCCCTGCACTGCGGTCGTTTCGAGGAGGCGTGCGGAAGACCTAGAGAGCGCTGCTTATGCAGTCGATTTGTCGAGGCGGTTTTCAATGTCTTTTCGATCAATATGCCGCTGAGTTGCTCCTGGGTTCGCTGCGAGGGGAGAGGAAGGTGAGGCAGGGAGGCACCAGGGAGAGAGTGAGGGCCATGAAGAGGGTAAGGAGGTGAAAAAGGAAGCTGCTGAACTGGAGTTGGAGGAGGAGGAGGAGGAGGAGGAGGAGGAGAGGGAGAATGACGAGGAGGAGTGGGAGGAGGAGGAGGAGGAGGAGGAGGAGGAGGAGGAGGAGCAACATGAAAACCTATCTCCAGGGACATTGGCGTCCATATCTCTCTCGGCAACCAGATGCTGCTGCGGCGAGAGCAGCTCTCGCTGGCAAGTCCGTCACGATCGAGCTGCCTCCTCGGCCCGCGCCACAGCGCGGCCGGCGGTTGCGCCCGTCATCCCTCGGCATCGCTCTCCTGCCGGGCATAGCAGCGGGCAGCGCAGGGAGCAGACTGGGCGAGGGAGGGGAGGCTCGGGAGTCCCCCAAACAGGGTGGTGACCGCACCGTGTGGGGAGTCGGTGGGGATTCGGGGTCACCGCACGGTGTTGGGACTCGGGTCGTTCTCCGAGGACGACTCGGGCGACTGGGGCATCCGAGGTCCCAAAGCCGTGCGTGGACGGACCGTGCGGTGGGGACCTGGGGGAGTTCGAGGTCGCCGCAGGGTCTGTCACCGCACCGTTTCGGGACTCCAAAGAGCAGAGGAGGTCGGAGGTTGGGGAGGGAGGGGGACTGAGTGAGCAGCAGGGCAGACTCACGGCCACGAGGAGGAGGAGGAAGAGAAGGAGGGCAGCGACAGCACTTTGAAGGCCCCCCCCCCACACTTTTACAAGTGTGGGCACCGTCGCGACGTTCCAGAAAGGGCTCCGCCCTCGAGGGGTGGGGAGAAATGGACCCCCCTGCCTCGGCGGAGGCTGGCGAAGTGCCGGCGGACGCGAGGCGACAGTGTGCAGCGCAGGCGTGCAGCAGGCCGCGCTGCGCGCAGGCGCGGCCTGCCGAGCGCCGCGCCGGGGCGGCCGCGCCCCGCGCCGAGGCTGCGCGCTCGCCGCCCTGCTGGCCGTCGGGGCCGCCGGCCTCCAGTCGCCGCCCCCGGAGGAGCACGGCGAGGCGGCCGCCTCGCTCGCCGCCTGCCGTTGCCGCGGGCCGCCGCCGAGCGCCGACGACGGCGGCCCGTCGCTGGCCGCCGACAGCCGCCGAGGACCAGCGACGACGGCTGCGGGCGCCGACGACCGCCGACGACGCCGCCGACGGCGCCGCCGCAGGCCGACGGCCGACGGCTGCCGACGGCGCCGCCGCCGACGGCCGACGACGGCCGCCGACGACTGCCTCCGACGAGGACTGCCGACGGCGCCGACGGCGTGGCCGGCGTCACAGGCGCCGACGACGGAGGACGACGATCACAGACTTGGGGCGTTGTAGTTTTTGTTTCTGTCAGCTTCTCATTCTGGGCGCGCCAGAAGGGGCCTCGCCTTCGAGGATCGAAGGATTTGGCAGCTCTTCCTCGTCGGAAGGCCGACGGAAGGCGGCGGAAGAAAAAATGGCCGCGGGTCCGCCAGCAGATGCCGGCAGAAGGCCAGCGGAAGCGACGGAAGTACAAGATGTGCCCCCAAGAGATGACAATATGTTGGGGTTCAAGGTTTCCAGATTCGGTCGTCTATTTCGGTCTCTGGGAGGAGTTTTGGGCCCCATATTACCAGCACAAAACGATGTTCGAGATGATTGATATCGCGACGGAGGTCTGGGACCGGGCACGGATGCTTTTCGCTGGGGTTAGTTTTCGCCAGGCTTCGTTTCGCCGGGCTTGCTTTCGCCAGGCTTGGTTTTCGCGGGGCTTCGTTTAGCTGGGGTCTGCTTTCGTGGTTGGCTTTCCCCGCGGGGTTGGCTTTCGCCGGGCTTGGCTTTCGCTGGACTTGGTTTTCGCCAGGCCTCGTTTCGCCGGGGTGGGCTCTCGCCGGTGTGGGTTCTCGCCGGGGTTGGCTTTCGCCCGGGTTGGCTTTCGCCGGGCTTGGTTTCGCCAGGGTTGGTTTTGGCTGGGGCGGGGCGCAGGCTCCAACAGGCGGGTCGGCTCAGGCGGGCGGCCCCTAACAGGCGGGACGGGTCGGGTCGGGCCGAGCGGACCCTAACGGGCGGGTCGGGTCGGGCGTGTGGGGCCCTCAAGTGTGGGGCACGCCGGAGCGAGCACGCGTGAAGCCGAATAACAGGTGGGTCGGGTTGGGCGGGCGGACCCTAACAGGACACGGGTCGGGTCGGGTCGGGTGGATCCTAACGGGCGGGTCAGGTCGGGCGGGCGGGGCCCCACAGTGTGTGGCACGCCGGAGCGAGCACGCGTGAACCCTAACGGGCGGGTCGGGTCGAGCTGGCGGACCCTAACGGGCGGGACGGGTCGTGTCGGGGCGGGCAGACCCTGACGGGTTGGTCGGGTCGGGCGGGCGGGACACTAAACTGTGGGACACGCTTGAGTGAGCACGCGTCTGGCTTTGCCAGGGGGGCACGTATTACGTACTGACTGACCCTTGGCCTCGGGGGGGCCTGAGCAAGGGCGGTGTGCATGTGTAGGTCAGGCCGTCCGGGAAGAAGGCGGGGGGTTGTGTTTCCAGTGGTGCTGCGGGAACGCATGGGAGCTCCAGCCAATCGACCGCGGGCAAGAGGAGGAGAGGAGGAAAAGGAGCAGCAGCAGCATAAAAGGACAGAAATGGGTGGAGGAGAGGAGGAAGAGGAGGGCGAAAACGAACCCAGGCGAAAGCAGTGCCGGGCGACAGACCAAAGCGGACAACACCCCACTTGGGCGAAAGCCAACCCGAGCGAAAGCCAACCCGGGCGAAAGCCAATCCGGGCGAAAGCCTTCCCGGGCGGAAGCGAACCCGGGCGAAAGCCAATCCAAGCGAAAGCCTTCCCGGGCGGAAGCGAACCCGGGCGAAGGCCAACCCGGGCGAAAGCCAATCCGGGCGAAAGCCTTCCCACGCGGAAGCGAGCCCGGGCGGAAGCGAAAACCAACCAGGGCGAAAGCCAACCCCGTTGAGAAAGCCGACTCCGGGCGAAAGTGAAGCCCGGCGAAGGCCAACCCGGGCGAAAAACATTTGTTTTCCTGGGACCGAGGGTCGAGGTTGGAGGATCGATGGGCAACGCCTTCGTCCATTCTTTCTGCCCTCGGAGGCTTCTTGGGACAGCGAGAGGCTTCGGAGATCTCTTGAGGCCTCCTCCTAGACGTCGTCGCCGCCGTCGTCATCGTCGTCGCTTGCGTCGTCGTCGCCGTTCCCCCTTTCAACTTGCTCATGCCACATCGCCGTCCTCTTCCCTCATGCTGCCTCCTCGTCTTCCTCCCTCCTCATCCTTCGCTTTGCTTTTCCTGCCCCCTCCTTTTTCTTGCGAATTATCCCTCCGTCTCTTCTTGATCCCTCCTCCTTCATCGTTTCTGATCATTATTTCTCCTGCCCATCCTCCCTCCTACATGATCCACCCTCCTTCCTCCCTCTTCCTCCCCCTCCCGCGTGTGGGCAGGCAGGACGGGGATTATTGCGCTGGCCTCCGGCCAGTGCCGCCGATCCGTGGCGCTCCGGATAATGGTGATGGTGTTGTTGATGATAGTGATGATGATGAATATGATGATGATGATAATGATGATGCTGCTGTTGCTGATGATAATGATGATGATGAAGATGATGATGATGATTAGGATTATGTTGATCATGGTAACGGACATGTTGAAGAACATGAAGATGGTGATGACGACGACGATAATCAGAATTGTGATGCTGGTGATGGTGGTTGTGCTGATGATAACAGTTTGCCCGCAATGATGTTGATACTACGGGTGACGTTGGTGTTGATGTCGATGAATCGAATTCTCAAAGTACTAAGAACTATGCAGTTGGTCAGGACGGCGATGGTGATGGTGCTGTTGCTGCTGATGATGATGCTGTTGTTGTTGATGATGATGATGATGATGATGATGATGCTGATGATGCTGTTGATGCTGATGATGCTGATGATGATGCTGATGATGATGATGTTGCTGCTGCTGCTGCTGCTGATGATGATGATGATGATGATGATGACGTTGACCATGGCGATTGTGGTGGGGATGTTGATGTCGACGGTTACGATGACTATCATGCAAAAGGAAGAGGTATGCCATCATATGTTGCGTGTTCCATCTCCGCATCTTGTGGAGCTCATACTGGGCCGTCCTGGGGCTGTTGTTGGCTTTTGTGAGGTGGGAGGAAGAGGAGGGAGGAGGGAGGACGAGGCAGGAAGGAGAAAGGAGGATGCAAGAGGTAGGGGGGAGGAGGGAGGAGGGAGGAGGGAGAAAGGAGGAGGGGAGGAGGGGAGGGAGGGAGCGATGAGGGAGGAGGGAGAGGTGAAGGAGGAGGAGCAGAGAGGAAGGAGCATGCGGAGGGAGGACGAAGAGCAGGAGGAGGAGGAGGAGGAGGAGGAGGAAGTGGAGGGCGCCCTCTTGGGCCGTTTTGGGGTCGTCTTGGGAGCCTCCTGAGCCGTCTTGGCGCGGTCTCGGGGGCCTCTGGGACCGTCGTAAGCGAAGCCCCCCCGTCCCCGAGCATTGCATGGCGTCGGGAATGGCTTCCCCCCCCCCCTTGCAGAGCGAACCCTCTACCCCCCGGCTCCCGAGCACTGACTGGCGTCGGGAATGGCGTTCCTGGCCCCCCGCCCACCCCGCCCTTGCAGAGCGAACCCACCCGGGGCTCCCGAGCACTCGTCCACCTCCCCCCCTTGCAGAGCGAACGCTCCCCCCCCCCTGGGCTCCCGAGCACTGAATGGCGTCGGGAATGGCGTCCCCCGCCCCCCCCCCCTTGCAGAGCGAATCACCCCCGGAGCTCCCGAGCACTGAATGGCGTCGGGAATGGCGTCCTCCCCCCCCCCCCCCTGCAGAACGACCCCCCCCCCCCCCCCCGGCTCCCGAGCACTGACTGGCGTCGGGAATGGCGTCCCCCCCCTTGCAGAGCGAAGCTTGAGCGAGCTCAAGTCCACGCTCTCAGAAAATCACACGCCGGATCGGTGGATTTCCACAGGTTTGGACCGATGCCAGATGCAAGTCATGACCTTCGTTGATGATGAGCGTGTTTGTCATTCATCTCGCTCATTCTGACCAGGACGAAGCGGATCCAGCCATTGCGACAAGGGCCTCCCCAGATGCCCACAAGCGTGACCATGCCTTCGAGGAGACGCCAAACAGCAAGCATGCACAGTTTATGAGATTTGCACAGATGGTCCGCAATTTCTTCTCACGGGAGGCCACCAGGGTCTAGGGTAGTGCTCCATTGATTGGTCGACCGGGTTTCGCATTCGTGGGTTGTCGTGGCTTCCTTCCCTCGCCGTCTTCTTCACCATCATCGTCACGTTTCTCTTGCATCTCATTATGATTATCCTTCTCCCTCCGATGTCTCCTCCTCCCCCATCCTGATCCTCCCTCCGTCTCCCTTTCTCTTGCCCCACCACCTCCGACCTCCGACGCCCTCCCGATACCTCAAGCACCTCCCCATCGACCTGCCCCTTGCCAAGACGACAGAGGCCTCTGGAAGCCTCCCCTCCTCCTCCTCCTCCTCCTCCTCCTCCTCCTCCTCCTCCTCCTCCTCTTACCCATCCCCTCTTGCTCCGTCATCCTCCCCCTTCCCCTCTTCATCATATTCATCCTGAGAGCTCCAGATCTGCGCGGAGGTGGCTCGACGCGCGAAGATGCGCGAATATGCATCTACGAAGCCTGGGCCTCCGCAGATGCACAGAAACTTCCCGCCCCTCCTGCCCAACTCCCCTGCGCGGACGCCTGTCAGGGCAGAGGCCTCGGTGCCTGGCCCAGGGTGCGCCTGCGTCGTTGGGTGTGGCACGGCCTTGGCACGACCAGGGCGCTCCGAGCCGTTCCAGCCCAGCTCCTCCCGAGGAGGAGCTGCAGCCAGGGATGATGAAGACAGGGGGCCACATGCGAACCCTACCCCGACCCCCCACGATTTCTGAGGGGGAGGGTGGGGTTCACTTCGTTCGGGAGCTCTCGAGCAAAGTGAACCCCACCCTCCCCTTCAGTCGTGGGGGGTAGGGGTAGGGTTCGCATGCGCCCCCCTAGAGGAAGAGCTGGACGAGAAGACGAACCGGGAGGACGAGGAGGAGCATCGGAGGAGGGCCAGTCGATACATCGGCGGCCCACACGCCCGGCCCATGTTCCATGTCCGCTCGAGATCGGTTCCCAAACCCATCCCTGGGTCCGTCCTGGCCGCTTTTCGATGCGGATCCGGCCATGCCGACCAGAAGTTCCCAGGCGGCCAACATAGAACGAAACACGCCAGAGACAGCCGCTGTTGTCTCAACGGGGACTCCTCCTTCGAGAGAGAGGCGGAGGAGAAGGAGGAGGGAGGAGGAGGAGCCACGACGACGAGAAGTCGAAGGTTGATGACCTCCCCCTCTCAGCCTGTCCTGCCCCGCCTGCTCGAGATCCCCCCGCTCCTCGAGAGGCCGGCGTGCACGTCGTGAAGCTGTGGCAGGAGAAGAGCCCCGTGTTCACCTCGAGCTCCACGAGCGCCATCGCCTTCAGGGTCACGTACTTGGGCCGGGTGCGGATCGGGAACCCTCCGCAGGAGCCCGGCTTGTGGTGGAATTTGCATGTCCAAAGAATGGTAAATGTTGTTCCCCTTCGCCCGTTGCACAATGTGTGTTTCGAGTGAAGTGTTCCTCCAGGGATTCGCGCCTGATTCTACAACGGAGAATATTCCTCCTGAGATTGTGTTGTGGCTCTCTGGTGTACAGCAACAACAGCAGCAGCAACAACTACATTCATGTTTCCCGAATGCCCTAGGATTCGATCTGCAGCCTGCATACGTCATGATCGCTCCCCCTCATGTTTTTTTTTGTCTTGCGCAGGGGTCTGATATTCTATCCCGGCTGTGGAGGTCTTGACAACACCTTTTCCTAGGCACTTCGACATCCCCACCCTGGATGGCACATCGCCTTCGCAATGGCCCCGTCCATACCTTGCCTCTGGGTGTTCACCACGCCCGAGAAACCCAGAACCTGTGGGAAGGGCCTCTGAGAGAGCCCCAGGACCCCGTGGACAGCCTCTGGAAACCCTTGTGGGAAACACGAAGACCATTGGGAGACGCGATGAAACTCAACTGGAGAATGTCGGGGCATCTTGAAAGAAGGCTTCCGGACATTTTTGGGAAAGGCTTGGATCGGAACCGCTCCTCGGCCTGCGGGAACGAACGAGAGGAGAAAACAGGAGGACGAGGACGAGGAGGAGGAGGCGGAGGATCACAGAGGAGGAGGGACGACAAGTGAGGAGGAGGAGGAGGAGGAGGAGGAGGAGGAGGAGGAGGAGGAGGAGGGATGAGGAGGAGGAGGAGGAGGAGGATCAGGGGAGGAAGAAGAGGAGGAGGAGGAGGAGGAGGAGGAGGAGGAGGAAGGAGGAGGGAGGAGGACGAGGAAACGGAGGAGGAGGAAGAGGAGGAGGAGGAGGAGGAGGAGGAAGAGGAGGCTGCGCAACCGGGCCGCCCTGGCTGCTTCTCTGGCTGGGTGAGCCGGCGCGCTGAAGCTGCCGGGGCACATCGTCGCAGTGGGCTACTGGGTCGTCCAGGTCTCGTTCGGCGACTGTGGGGTCGCGTGTCCGCCACAGACTGCGCTCTCACCTGCAGGAGGACGGGGAAAAGGAGGAGGAATAGCAGGAGGAGGTAGAGGTGGAGGAGGAGGAGGACGAGGAGGAGGAGGAGGACGAGGAAGAGAAAGAGGAGGAGGAAGAGGAGGAGGAGGAGGAGAAGGAGGAATAGGAGGAGGAGGGAAAGGAGGGAGAGGAGGAGAAGGAGGAGGAGGAGGAGAAGAGGAGGAGGAGGAGGAGGAGGAGGAGGAGGGGGGACCAGGACGAAGACGAGGACGAGGAGGAGGAGGAGAGGAGGAGGACGAGCAGGGACGACGAGTGAGGAGGAGGAGGAGGAAGAGGAGGAGGAGGAGGAGGAGGAGGAGGAGGATAAGAAGGAGGAGGCGGGAGGAGGAGGACGAGGAAAAGGAGGAGGAGGAGGAGGAGGAGGAGGAGGGATGAGGAGGAGGAGGAGGAGGAGGAGGAGGAAAAGAAGGTGGGAAGGGAGTAACATGAGGGGAGGAGGAGGAGGAGGAGGAGGAGAGGAGGGAGGAGGAGGAGGAGGAGGAGGAGGAGGAGGGAGGAGGAGGGTGAGGAGGATGGAGACAGGAGGAGGAGGAGGAGGAGAGGAGGGAGGAGGAGGAGGAGGAGAGGAGGAGGAGGAGGAGGAGGAGAGGGGAGGAGGAGGAGGAGGAGGAGGAGGAGGAGGCGGAGGAGGAGGAGGAGGAGGAGGAGGAGGAGGAGGAGGAGGAGGAGGGGGACGACGACGACGACGACGACGCCGCCGCGGGTTTTCGGGCCGCTCCTGGAACGCGGAACGCGCCAGGGATGCACCAGCGCAGACCGGAGGCCGCCAGTGCAGGCTGCGTTCTTGAGGATCGGCATGAAATCGCTATGCAAGCCCCAGGATCTCTGGGAGTCTTGAGCGGAGGAAGTATCGAGCGGGAGCGTCGTTGTTTGCAGGGAGGCCGTCTGCGGCGCCGAGAAGGGAGCGCTGGTCCTGAGTTACAAACCGGAATATATCGACCGGAAGCGCCATTTTTGTAAGAAGGTGTGGGAAAAGGCGGCCTTCGGCGGCGAGCAAGAGTTCCCGTCCCGAGTAGAAAAAGAAGAGATATCGACCAGGCACGTTGTTGTTGTTTGGGACTGTGTTCGGCGTATCCCCGAAACGCATGAGCATGAGTTTCGGTTTCGGAGGACATGCGACCAGCGCCGAGGCGAATCATCATTCTCAGATAGTTAAGGGCCACTGGGAGTCTTGAGCACAAGCAGAGGAAGCGTCGTTGTTTGCACGGGGGGCCTCTTGCGGCGCCGAGAAGGGAGCGTAGGGCTTGAATAGTACGCAGTGAAGTAGCGAGCGGAGCGCCAGTTTTCTGCGGCGAGCGAGAGCCGGTCCCGATTAGAAAAGGAGGAACCATCGAGCGGGAGCGTTGTTGTTGCTTGGGGCCGTGTTCGGCGTATCCCCGTCACCTTTGAGCGCGAGCCTCGGTTTCAGAGAACATGCAGCCAGCACCGAGGCGAGAGTGCCAGGGCGCCTCCAGGGGGACCAACAGTAATACTTGTTCCTTCATTATGATTTAACAACAGTTCCCGCCTTCTACTTCCCCCACGATTTATTCCAGAATCGCGCTCCCGCGCAGAGCTTTCTCACAATGTATGCAGACATCGCGCTGTCGCGTGGGACGCCCTCGCAATTTATTCCGACGCCGCGCCTTCGACACTCAGGAATTACGCTCTCGCTTTAGCTCATCACGCGATTTATATGGGAAGCGCGCTATCGCTCTAGACTTTTTCACGATTTGCTGAATGCGCGCTTCAGCAACCCGCGTGCTCGACATGGCCGCCTGGGCCCGCATTTCCGACCCGCCCGTTACGGTCTATCTGCCCGACTTGCCTTGGCGCCACCCCGTGAACTTCCCTCCCCCTCTCCCCCCGCCCTTTCCTTTTCCGCCTCCTGCTCCCCCACATCCGCCTCCACCCCCATCGTTGCCTCTGCCTTCTCCTGCGCCTCCGGCGCCTCGATTAGAGTCGCCCTCTGTCTCAGGCCCCTGTCCCCCATGCCGCCAAGCTGGAGCACGATGGCTCCGCAAACGTGCGTATGCTTTCCTCCGTGGCCCGCTCGGGGCCCCACTCGGGGCCACCCCCTGCCGCCCCGCGATGGACCCCCGAATCCCGACCCCCGCCGTTTTCATTTCACGCGTTTCCCGCCAAAACGGTCGGACGCGGCTGTAGAAATACTGCCGAATTCTAAAACGCAAAACGAGATTCTAGAACTGCAAAGGGATTTCTAGAGCAACGGAAATAGTTCTAGAACGCAAAACCAATTTCTAGAATTGTATAGAGTATAAAACGTAACCAAAGCAAGGTCCAGAACGGCCAAAACAGTTCTAGAACGACGAAGTGATTGCTATAACGCAAAAATGCGATTCTAGAGCTCTGGATTGACCTGTCGGGCGCCAGTCGCGTGCTCGTTCACCCATCTGGTGCCACTGCTCGCACGCTTGCCGCGCGCCAGTCGCGTGCCCGTTCACCTGTCTGGTTCCAGTCGCGTGCTCGGGGGCCCAGAGAGTCAGCCAGCCACCCCGCCAGCCATCCATCCAACCATCCAGCCCAATAGCCAATCCTCCAGCCAAAAAACCAGCGAGCTAACCAACCAATAGCAAACCGCCCACCCAGGCAGAGACGGGGCGCCAGCAACAGAGGGAAACGCATGTTTGAACATGTCAAGAGAGTTTGCGCCGGCCTGCCATTCGCAGATACGCCGAGCGTGGATCCGTCGAGGCACGAACAACCCGCGGGTGACATCGGCGGGGCGGCGAAACCTTGATTGTAAAACCGCCAGGTGCGAGCCATCAACAGTGCCTGTCCGCGCGCGGGCGCAATCGTGACGTCGCAGCGAAACCGGGCGCTGCAGATACACAGGCCGTTACCCAACATAAGCTTCACCCGGAATGTTCCCCACCCACAAGACGGATTGGTTTACGATTTGCAAAAGTCCATGTGGATTTCACCCTCAGCTTTCCACCCTAAGAAATTGCTCAGGGGCCCTCCCCTTCGTCCCTTGCATCAAGAGTTACGTCCTTGATTTCCCTTTTCAAAGGGGCTGCGCCGAATACGCGTAGCATGTAAGGAAGATACGCCCCCAAGTGGGTGCGATCACTGACGAAGAAGGCGGGTACCCAGAATTCGGGGTATACGTGTGGAGTGGCACGCGAGCGTATACGAGTGAACCGTTTTCATATGATTGAACATTATTTATTCTAAAGAATAATTATTGTTGGGCCCCCTGGTGCGCGCCCCCCCTGCGCCGCCTAGGCCGCAGCTACATTTTCATCATTTTCGTGAGGAAGCCTCAGGTAAAACGATGTGATCCAGATCCGGTTGTTTTGTTGTAATCCGTTTTCCCTTGCAAAAAACACTATAAAATGACATTTCTTGTTCTAATATAATCAAATTTCAAGAATCCCTTGCAAAAAATAAGGTAAAGTGGACATTCGCGCGCGCAAGACGAAATCCTTCCAAAAGCTTAGTGTTCGGAGCGATTTTAACATAAAAACATCAAAAAACCAATGGTTTTTCAACAAAAAAATGTCAAAATCTCATCCCGCGCGCTCTTGCGGATTCGTAGGAAACCCAACACTTTTTAAACATTTCTGTCAAACGGGCTTTTGCGAGCAACTTTTTCGAACTTCTGCGACAACGGTTGCGCACCTGCCAGGGCCATCATCCCTGTCAAATAATACCATGCGGGACACATTCGTTTTTTCTTCGCGCGCGCACGCCGAAATCTCCAAAAACCATTGGGTTCTTAAGAATTTTAGCACCGCGCATCATACAATCACACGAATCGCACCGTAGGTCCTCGAAAAACACCTGCACGGCATATATCGTCTCACAACAACGGAAACAAGTCCTGTGGTATGCTGGCGCCACGCACGTGATACCAGTCAAAATAAGGGTCTTGGCTTGTGTGGTACAGAAACGTTAAAACGTCGGAAAACGGTACACGTGCCCATTGTTGGAACAGGGGTATAAGTCGTATACTAAGCTAGTTTCCACAAGATGTTACCACAAGAAGTCATTGTAACCATGCGCCAGTGTAGTAGCCAAGGTCGTCCGCAGGCCACGAAGTGAAGTGTCCGAACGTCATAGGGCGGGAAGCTGGGTGTGGGTGGTGGCGAAGAGTCGTTTGGAAACTTGGTAGAGCTTGAACCGGCCCCCCCACAAAGTGGGGGTATTGCCCGCCTCCTATGAAAATCTTGGCACTGGTGAGAACGGAGTGTCCCCAGTCTTAAATGAATGTTGTTGTTATTGTTGTTGTTGGTGGTGGTGGTGGTGGTGGTTGTGGTGTTGTTGTCTTTGGTGTTGAAGCGTGATTATTGCTGATCCTCCTTTCTGGTGCACGCTGTGGTTTTCAATTGAAATGCCCTTCCCGGGGCCCGCACCCTGTCTTCTATCAGGGAAGGTCTTGTGTGTCAGAGTTGTGTTTTTGGTCCCGGCTTACAGCTACAGCGCCAACAACAACAAGAACAACAACAACGGCTCCCGCTTGATACTTCCTCACAATGTATTCCCAAATCGCGCTCTCGCGCGGGACGTTCTTGCAATGTATGCAGACATCGCGCTGTCGCGCGGGACGTCCTCGCAATGTATTCGGACGCCGTGCCCTCGACACTCAGGAATGACGCTCTCGCTTAAGATTATCTCATGATTTACTTGGGAATCTCGCTATCGTTCGAGATTTCCTAGCGATATATGCAGAACATGTTTCAGCAACCCAACTGCTCGACCTGGCCGCCGGGGCTCGCCTTCCCGACCCGCCTGTTAGCGTCTACCCGCCCGATCTGCCCGTCTTGTTCTGCCACGTGTTGTCTGTTTCTAGCCCCGTTCTCCTGCTACTCCCTCGCGTTCTCCATCCTCCTCCCTCCCCCATTGCCCCTTTCTTCCATCCGCCCTCTCTTTCCATGCCGTAGGTGCTGCATAGACTGTACGTGGTAGGTAAGATACACACCCAAGGGGGTACGATCTAAAACGAAGAGGGCGGGTGTCGATGGTTTGCGATATACGTGTTGAATGGCACGCGAGCAGATAAGAGCGAACAGCTTCAATATGCTTGCCGTTGTTGGTGTTGTTGCTATTGCGGCCGTTCATTTTTGCAAGAGGTTGTCCATGCTGATTTCTCCAGTTTGGATTTGCCCGAGGGGCTCGGATCTGCTTGTGAAGAGAACTGGTGGGTGCG